GACCCAAGGTTCACTTCGAGATTTTAGGAGAGCCTGTAGAGGGCATTAGGCACTAAATTGAAAGGTAGTTTAGCATATCATCCTCAGACTGATGGTCAGACAAAAAGAACCATTCAATCCCTAGAGGATCCGTTGAGAGCTTGTGTGATTGAATAGCAGAGAACTTGGGAAGAATGTCTGTCGTTGGTGCAATTCACGTACAACAACAATTATCATGTCAGCATTGGAATGGCACCGTTTAAGGCTCTATATGGACAAAAGTGCAAAAATCTTCTATGTTGGTATGAGACTAGAGAGGCTACTCTGTGTGCACCAGACATGGTTCAGAAGCAAAACAAGTAGATTAAGATGATCAGAGAAAAGATGAAGACTTTACAAGATTGACAAAAGAGCTACTACGATAAGAGGAGGAAGCCTTTGGAGTTCCATGTGGGTGACCATATGTTTTTGAAGGTCTCATCTCTAACTGGAGTTGGGGGTTTTGTTATTTTTAAGAAATTAAATAGAAACTTAAAATAGGCAACAAGAATTGAATTGCAAGAAAATGCAGTAAAACAAATTGAATTAAAATTGAATAAGAGCAGCAAATTGAAAGAAAATGAAATCCAATTGAAACTCAAAAAACTAAAACAAATTAAACCCAGAAAAACTAAATCGAATGCAAGGAAGAACGAATGCAAATTAAAAGAATGAAGACAAATTAAAGGAACAAAGACAAATTAAAGAGAACAAAATTAAAGCGAACATAATTAAATTGAACAGAATTAAAGCGAACAAAATTAAAATGAACAAAATTAAAGCGAACAGAATTAAAAGAGAAACAAACGTAAACTAAACACAAACTAGGATTGAAATTGAAAACCACCAACATGAACTAGGATTGCTATACTGAATTTGCCTAAACCTTGAATGCAAAAGAAATCAATCAATCAATTAATCTTACACTTAAGAATAAAAATCAAATTCAATCGAATTATGCATGCACAAATCTTAATCAAGAATTGCGAGAAAGCACAAAAACAAGCTGGAAGCGATCAATCGGTCTTACAATCCGCGCTCGAGATAAGATGATTTGGGAATTCAACCACGTAGTCGCGAATCGGAATACGAGTAAAAATCAAATTAAAAATCGCAGTTGGGTCAAAAATTGAATTGTATGCAGAAGCCGGAAAGAGATGAGTAAACGACAATGAAAAAGGTTTCTTTTCTCCAAAAGCAGGAAAGTCTTACAAAAACGGAAATTATGAAAAGAGGAGAAGAAGCCTAAAGTCAACCTCTTTACCCCTATATATGCTGGTCTTAAATGAGACAAAAATAATATGAGCCAAGGCTGCCGCAAGTAATTACAATAAAAATCCTAAATAAAAACCTAAATATAAAAGCTATGTTTTAAGTCTGAATTTCAAAAATTAATAAAAATAGCTCTGACTCCAAATAGCATGATCTATATGTCCAAATTGAAGCCCATGAAGTTAGGAATCTATTGCAAAAAGAATCAGCCAAAAAGAAAATATATAAAAAAAAGTTATAGCTGAAATAGTGGACAAAGGTCAGAATAGAAAATAATATGAAATATAAAGTAAAGATAATAAGTATTTATAAAAACTCCAATTTAATGCAAGAAATGTAAAAACATGCTAAATGAAAAAATAAAGAAGGAAAAGGTGTTTTGGAAGATGCAATAAGACTATAAATGTGAGTACCAAATATAAGTCATCATCCACCACCTTCATTTCCCTAAGATTTCCCAAATCGCCTCCATCTTCCAGACTCCTAGTGTACCTCTGAACTTTCTACACCCGTCCTTATCATTTACCTTTCTCATTCTATTTCTCTTTTCATATTTCTCATTTCATTTCCATGTTTTTCATTATGACTCTACTCTTCTCATTTGTCATCATAGCCTGAACCCATTATTTTCTATTAACATATAATTCATCCTTTCATCTCTTTATTTTTCTCAAGTACATCATTATATCATACATCAATCAATCATTGCTGGAGGTTGGTCACCTTCGAACTCCATCCACAACATATATACATATATACTCAAAATAAAGGCCATACACATCTTCAAACACAACAAAAACATATTTTCATCCAACATATATTTATAAGCATGCATGACATCGCAAACTTTTCATAAGCACAAAAATACTATGTTCTTAGTAACAAAATAGAGCTCTCATTACCTAAAAAGGCAAGTTCAGTGAAGTTCGAGCTTAGATTTGGAATAACTTTGGAGTATATGATGCTTTTCTCTAGAGAAAGGAAGAGAGAGTAAAGGGAAAAAGAGTTAGGAAATATTTCATGGAGTGTAATGCAAGTCTCAAGTCAGCAATCCCTTAAATACCCCCTGAACCTCACGCCCTTTCGCTTGAGCGAGACTATCCTCGCCAATGCGAGCTGGCGAGAAATGCAGACAATAGTCTCTGATAAATCCATATTTTACTACATTTTTAGCATAATTTTTGTTAATAAATAAGTAGTAAATTACCAAATAAACTTGAAAATACCATAAAAAATTCATTAATATTCATAATTGTGTAAATAGTTTAGCATTTTAGATTTTATTTTGACTTTAAAAGATTTAATTTTTGTGCAAAAGCTTGAGCTGAGAATTTGAAGTTGATATTGAATTGGAAAAAGTAAAAGGATTGAGCCTAAAAGAGCAAGAATCAGATGATAAGTGTTGGGCGTAACCACTTTAAATGCATAGAGTTAACACTTTAAAGAAGAAAATCCATGAAGATCAAGTGAGTAGCAACTTTAAGTGTTGAAAGTGAACACTCCAGCAGCAGAAATCCTGAAGAACCTACGCGTGTACACTCTAATCACTGAGAGTAGTTACACCCAATGCTAAATCACTCACACACCTGGCACATCTACAGTCTGGGCACTGAGAGTAGCTACGCAAAGTGCGCGTATCCACTCTATGCACTGAGAATAGCTACGCGTTAGGCTTTTCCATAACACTTGCGCATGGACACTTTTACCACTCAAAATGTCCACGCAAAATAACAGAATTTTAAAATTCACTTCTAAGTGTCAACTTTGGACAATTTGAGTTCCTATTTCAGTTGTAGAAGCTTCTAGAAGACCTTTCATGATATAATCCTCAAAAATTAAACTATGGAAGTGAAAAAGGCAACAAAAACATTATAAATAGAAGTTAAGAGTTTAGATTTGGGGACTTTTGATCATTGTGTCATTTTTTCATTTTGTAACTATTTCAAGCTTCATTGCTAGAGGAATCAGGATGAAGATTAGGTCTTGGAAAATATTTTTCTGCTCCTTGTCTTCTTCTTCTTCTCTTACTTTTCCTTCTTCCATTGTAATGTTTATCTAAACTTTTTTGGTTAGGGATCTATGGATTCAGATTTGATAATGTGATGAAATTTTGGATTTGGATCTTGAGATTTTAATTGAATTAAGTATGATTTTGTTCTTAATGCAGTTGTGAACTAATCCTTCATTCAATTAAACTTAGAGGAATCTTCATTAATGAAAATCGAGTTTATTTCTCAAATCTGAATCATATGCCTAGGTTATTGAGATCTTAGGAATAAGCATCATAATATAGTAATCCTATAATTTCTAGAACTTAATACAATATTTGATTGAATTTCACCTAAGGAATTAAGGAGTTTTAATTAGGTATTAGGATCATTGAGGCAAGGAATTGTCCTTTGGTTAAAGAAGTGAAATTGATTATCATCAATTAAAATTCTCAAGAGTCCAGAACATGATTATTTTGCAATTGAAAATATGGTGAAGTGATTCCTAACTATTTTTCACATAGCATTTTTTATATAAAATTTGTATTATGTTTTACAGCATTTTATTACCTTTTAATGTTCTTATTTCTCATCTTTTTACATGTTACAAATCTTTCAAATGAATTGTTTGGCTCAACTAATTGTCAATTTGTAAAGTGGTAATTGAAACTAAGATCCTTGTAGACGATACTTGGAACTCATATTGATTTCCAACATTTTATTACTTTTTACAACTACCTAGTACACTTGCTAGTTAGTGATTTTACCCAAAGAATATTCTTGTATTCTAATTTTGTGTAATAAGTTTTTGGCGCCGTTGCAAGGAATCTTTATTTTTCAATATCATTAGTAGCAAGGAGACAAATAGATTGAGCTATTTGTTTTCTATTTTGTTTTAAATTCTGATTTTATTGATTGAATTTTGTATAACCTTTTTGCTAGTTTTTCTGCATATTATTGCTATCCAGCTCTGTATAAATGCTATACCATTGTATTTTGTGTTTAGTTGAATGTTTAGATGTTAGTTTCCTTTCTTAATTTCTTGTTAGATATTCTGCTAGTAATTTTTTTATACTATATTGTTCTGTATTCTGATCATTTTTCAAGTGTTTTTGCTGTGTTTAGTTTTCCTTTTTGTTATATGTGTGGGAAAAATAAAAACAAGACTGCTCTTGTGTTTGATTTGGACATAGACAAAACATTGAGAATGCTGAGAAATGAATTAAGAGTAGGAAATTCAGCAAGTAAGGAGCAGGAATTGAAATCTACACCTTCTACTCCTAAATCGGAAGAACTTTGAATTCCTTTTCCTACACCACCAACACCTCAAAAGAAGATAATGACTGAACAGAATATGATGAGAACTTTAGGGGATTATGCAATACCTAACAGTAGGAATACAACTCCTCTATAGTCAGACCTACCACACATGCCAACCATTTTGAAATAAAATCAACTTTACTTCATTTAGTTCAGCAAGATCAATTTTTCAGTTCAATTTTGGATGACCCTAACTTACATATCTCTAACTTTTTGCAGCTTTGTGACACAATAAGGATGAATGGACTCAACTAGACTGCAATTAGATTGAGATTATTTCCATTTTCCTTAAGAGATAAAACAAAGTGCTAGCTGTAAGCGTAGCCATAAGGAAGCATAACCACTTGGGCAGACCCTGTCAACAAATTTCTTACCAAGTATTTTCTACCATCTAAAATTGCCAAATTAAGAGGAGAGATTACATCATTTATGCAGCAAGAAGGGAAATCTTTATATGAGGCTTGGAAGAGATATAAAGAGTTATTGAGGAAGTGTCCACACCATTACATACCAGAATGGATGTAGCTGGAAACTTTCTATAATGGAATAAGTCTAGCCACTATAACTATGATTGATGCAGCTGTGGGAGGATCATTGAATACTAAATCATTTGAAGAAACTCAGCGAATTATAGAAATGATGGCTTCATCTATGTATCAAAATTCTAATTCAAGACACTCTACAAGGAGTGAAGGATATGAGGCTAAAATTCTTGAGACTTTCCTTGCGCAAAACTAGCTGCAAAACCAAATGTTTCAGAGTAAATTGCTGCAATAACTCAACAAATAAGCAATTTACGGGCTGCTCCAATTCAGAACATGCAACTTGTTTGTGATTTTTGTGGAGGAAGTCATGCTAATGGTGCATGTAATGCACATACAACTGAACCTCAAGAGCAAATTAATTATTTGAAAAATTTTCAGAGACAACCACCTTCATTCCCAACCGGCTTTTAATACTCTAATAGCATAAACCAGCAGTATTATAATTAGAATTCTCAAAATTTTGCTGCAAAGAATTCTAATTTTGCTTTACCTTTTTCTGGTGTAAGTCCAGTAGCACAACAATCTTATTTTCAACGGAATCCAACCACTCAACCTCAAAGAAATAAAAAATTTTCTAAGTCTATGACTGAAAGGTTGAATAAGATGGAGGAAACTATGTTGCAGTTTATGAAAGTGTCCCAAACAAGCTTTAAGAACCAAGAATCTTCCATAAAAAAGCTTGAAACTCAAATTGGACAGTTGGCTGAACAACTGTCCAACAGAGAAGAAGGGAGATTTCCTAGCCATATAGTTGTCAATTTGAAAGAACAATGTCAAGCTGTAATGACTAGGAGTGGGGCTATTGTAAGAAGTCCTAAACCTATTGAAAAGAGAGACAAAAATTCTATTGAGGAAGAGAAGTTGAAGTTTGATTTAGATGAAGGAAAATTCACTTTGATGAAAAGAGAGAATTCAGAAAAAGAAAGTTTTTCAAGGGCTGTGAGAAAGACAGAAAGACAAATATTTGATGAAGCAAATCAGTCTATTAATGAGGAGATATACAAGAGACTTCCTTATCCTTAAAGAATGCCTAATCCAAAATGAGAAAAGCAGTTTGAGAGGTTTCTAAATGTCTTCAAAAAACTTCAAATAAATATTTCTTTTGCTGAAGCACTTGAGCAAATGCCCTCCTATGCTAAATTCATTAAGGAGTTGTTATCTAAGAAGAGAAAGCTTGAGAATGACAAAATAGTCCCTTTGACTGAAGAATATAGTGCTATTTTGCAAAAGAAGCTCCCTTAAAAATTAAAGGATCTAGGTTCTTTTAGCATCCCATGTTCCATTGGAAATTGTACCATGGGAAAAACTCTGTGATCTTGGGGCCAACATTAACCTTATGCCTCTTGCTATCATGAAGAGACTTGGAATAGAGGAAGTCAAGCCTACTAGCATAACTTTACAGCTTATAGACAAATCTTACACATATCCTTATGGTATTGTAGAGGATTTGCTAGTTAAGATTGACAAATTTATTTTCCTTGTAGATTTTGTAATCTTAGACATGGAAGTGGATGCCAACATCCCTTTAATTTTGGGCAGACCATTCTTAGCCACCAGGAAAGCTTTAATTGATGTTCAAAAGGGAGAGCTTATGTTGAGAGTGCAGGATGAATAGGTTATTTTTAATGTATTTGAGGCTTTAAACATCCCAATAATGATGTTACTTGTATGAGGGTTGATATTCTAGACTCTATTACTTTTCCTCACTTTATTGATAATGTTGATGAGATTTCATTGTTAAGGGAAATAATAGTTGCTGGGAATTGTTCTACTGCTGTAAAAAAAGAAGAACACTTGAGAGAATATGTGCAGCAGCGGGACACCTTGCTAATTGTTCCTTTTTCAGAAATTTCAGCAAAAAAAGATTTGAAAAATGAAATAAAAGAAAAGAAGGCTGAGAAACTTAAGCTGAAACAGTTGCCTTCCCACTTGAGATATTCTTTCTTAAACAAAGAACATGAAAATCCGGTGATCATTAGCAATGATCTCAAGGGAGAGAAGGAAGAGAAATTGCTGAGAATTTTAAGAGCTCATAAGTAGCAATTGGCTAACATATTTTATATTTAAAGGGGATACATCCAACTTTTTACAAGCATCGAATTCCGTTTGAAGAGAATTATAAACCAGTAATGAAGCCACAAAGAAGATTAAATCCAGCCATGAAAGAAGTAGTAAGAAAAGAAGTGATGAAGCTGCTAGATGCAGGAATTATTTACCTAATTTTGGACAGCTAATAGATTAGTCCAATCCAAGTTGTCCCTAAGAAAGGAGGGATGACCGTTATGCCTAATGAAAAGAATGAATTAATTTCCACTAGGACTGTCAGAGGCTAGCGCATGTGTATTGATTATAGAAAATTAAATGATGCAACTAGAAAGGATCATTTCCCAATGCCATTTGCTGATCAAATGTTGGAAAGACTAGCTAGACATGTCTTTTATTATTTTCTTGATAGATATTCCGGCTACAATAAATAGCGACGGATCCTATAGATCAAGAGAAGACTACATTTACATGTCCATTTAGAGTTTTTGCATATAGAAAAATGTCATTCGAATTGTGCAATGCTCCCACTACTTTTCAAAGGTGTATGCTGTCTATATTTTTGTTGATTTAGTAGAGAAAATTATTAAAGTGTTTATGCATGATTTCTCTGCTTTTGGTAATTCTTTTAATGAATGTTTAGCTAATTTGTCCATTATTTTACAGAGGTGTCAAGATACCAGCCTTGTTTTGAATTGGGAAAAGTGTCATTTCATGGTCCAAGAGGGAATTGTCCTTAGCCATAGAATTTCTGAAAAAGGAATGGAGGTGGGTCAAGCAAAAATAGAAGTTATTAGTAAACTGTCTCCACCAATTAATGTTAAGGGAGTTAGGAGTTTCTTAGATCATGCAGGCTTTTATAGGAGGTTTATCAAGGATTTTTCAAAAATTGCAAAACCTCTTAGTGATTTACTTGTTAAGGATGCTAACTTTATTTTTGATGATTCTTGTTTGAATGCATTTTCTGTTTTAAAAGAGAAATTTATTTCTGCTCCTATTCTTGCAAAACCTTTTGAATTTTACCTTTTGAATTAATGTGTGATGCAAGTGATAGTGCAGTAGGTGCTATTCTAGGACAAAAAAAGGATAGAAAACTGCATGTCATTTATTATTACAGCAAAGTCTTAAATTCTACACAAGTAAATTACACAACTACTGAAAAAGAACTCCTTGCCATTGTGTTTGATTTTGATAAATTTAAATCATATTTGATGGGATCCAAAGTCATAGAATATACTGATCATTCTGCTCTCAAATATTTGTTGTCCAAGCAGGCTGTCAAACAAAGATTATTGAGATGGATTTTGCTGCTATAAGAGTTTGAATTAAAAATTAGAGATAGAAAAGGAAAGGAGAATAGGGTAACTAATCATCTGTCCAGATTTCCATTGGACAGTTTAACCTCTAATTCCTTAGACATTAATGAAGAATTTTCATATGAGAGACTTCTTGTTGTGGAAGATCTACCTTGGTTTCCTGACACAACAAACTTTAAGGCTACTCAACTCATTCCAAAGAGATTTACTTGGTAACAAAGAAAGAAATTTCTACATGATGGCAAATTCTATATATGGGAAGACCCTTATTTGTTTAAAATTGGGGTGGATGGTCTACTTAGAAGGTGTATCCCACAAAGTGGACAAGCTGAGATATTGTGGCATTGTCATAATTCATATAGAGGCCACCATGAGAGTTCAAGAACTACTGCAAAAGTCTTGCAAGTAGGATTTTTATGACCTACACTCTTTAAAGATGCCAAAAATTATGTTCAGAGTTATGATAAGTGCCAAAGGATAGGCAACATCTCTAGGAAACATGAGCTGCTATTAACAAATATTGTGGAAGTGAAATTATTTGATGCATGGGGAATCAACTTCATCAGACCTTTTCCCATGTCTTTCTCTCATAAATACATACTTGTGGCAGTTGATTATGTTTCCAAGTGGGTGGAAGCCATTCCAACAATGACAAATGAAGCCAAGGTGGTAATTTCTTTTATAAGAAGGAACATATTTGCTAGATTTGGAGTACCCAGATTTTTAATAAGTGATGGAGGTGCTCATTTCTGCAATAAATATCTTGAATCAATCTTAGCAAAGTATGGTGTAAAACATAAGGTTGCTACTCTTTATCATCCACAAACAAGTGGACAAGTTGAAGTATCAAACAGAGAAATTAAACAAATTCTGAAAAATGTGGTGAATAATTCAAGGAAGGACTGGTCAAAGAAGTTAGATGACTCTTTGTGGGCTTATAAAACTGCCTTTAAGACTCAAATTGGTATATCACCTTACTAATTAGTCTTTGGGAAGGCATATCATTTACCTTTGGAGCTGGAACATAAAGCCGATTGGGCCACTAAGTGGCTGAATTTTGACTTGGCTAATGCTAGAGAGAAGAGGATATTACAGCTACATGAGCTGGAGGAATTTAGACAGCATGCGTATGAAAATGCTAAGGTATAAAGGAAAGAACCAAGAAGATCCATGATAAATTCATTCTAAAAAGAGAGCTTAACCCTGGACAGAAAGTTTTGTTGTTTAATTCAAGACTGAAATTATTTCTAGGATAGCTTAGATCAAGATGGTCTGGACCTTTTATGATAAAGAAAGTATCTTCCTATGGTGCAATGTTAATTGAGGATCAAAAGACAGGAGAGAGTTCAAGGTCAATAGTCAAAGGCTGAAAATTTATCATGGAGAGGCATTCATAAAGAACATTTCTTGTGTTAAGTTGGTTTCTCTTGATTGAGAAACATGAGGTGTCAAGCTAGTGACATTAAAAGAGTGCTTGTGAGAGGCAACTCACATTTCTAACCTTTTACTCTTGTTAAAATTCAGTTAGAAAATTTTAATTGTAGTGAGTTTTGAATTTTAGAATTCTTCATTTTCTGAAATTGTAATTAGGATGTAATGGTTAAT